GGCATAACCCCCACGTAACCTCAAATTCAATCATACTCCTAAAATGCAAACAAGGGGGAGGAGCGATAACAGCGAGTGGAGGACAGGGAAATAAGATGGAGTACCTCAAAATTTGGTGCAAAAACGCATGATCGCACCGGCTCGCCTGGTGCGTTCCAGCCTGGGTTTTCTGAATTTTAAGGTTCCGTTTTGCAGCAAAATCAAAAATATTTAGTAGTTGAAACAGCTACTACAACATTACATATTCATTAGGGATGTAGCTGACAATCACGCCATTCGGTTTTTTTTTTTCATTTCAGAGTAAGCAATACAATCCATAAAAATATAGGAAAATATTTTAAAAACACGCAGTTTTTAAAAATAATAAGCAATGCCTTGAAATGCTCGCACTACAAACACATAGAAGCCAATTTTACAGTTTTACTTACCTCATTCAGTTGCAGTTCGTAGCCTGTTTCTTCAGTTGTGCAGCTAGTCCGCTGTCTGATGGTCAGTTTGCTGGCAATCCTGGCGTTCTTTCTATCTAAAAAATTCACTAGCTCAACGATTTTTCTGGCCGAAGCATTTTGCAAGTTTTTAGTTGTTTCGGTGTTTGTTGAGCAATGCCACCTTGTTTTGACCTCAAACCCTAGACCTCAAATCTGATCCCCGCTGCCTCTAAGCATAACGGGTAAGAGTCAGATTTCAGAAGATCTTCCGAAAACCATTTGCAGCAACAGTTCAACGATTAAAAAGTCGATTTGCAGGGATCTATCCTGGGATGCCGGCACCGATGCCGCATTTTCGCGGTGGTCCACTCCCGCTACCGCATATGATGCCCGCACATCATCCAGCTATGATGCGGCCACCAATGTTTCTTCCATTTCCTCCACCACCACCACCACCACACTTATTACCACCAATGCATCCTGTGCCAATGATGCCAGCAGCACCTCCGCCACACTTCGGTTCGTGCAACAGCAATTTTGTTATCATTTTATCAGTGAATGCATTTTTCATAAATCAGCTCGCAAAGTATCGGGAAATTTTGTGTGGACATTTGGGAGCTAGGCGGTGAGAGTTTCTCAGATTAAGGTCCAGTTGCGACGCCTAGTTAAGACGTTCACAGTTTAATGGACCAGTTGAGCCTTAGCTTCGCATTTTCACTTTACCATCCTCTTCTTCATTTATCTTATCATTGTTCTTTTGATTCTCCCATTTAGTTCATATCCCTGCATACATTAGGCTCTCGATCAGAAAAACGGGCGATAATTTGAAATAAACGCTAAAACTTAAAATACCGTATATTTAAGCCACGGAACATGGGAAAAATTCCCGGAAACTATAAGTTTAAACCTTGGGACATGAGAGGAAATCCCAAAACTCGCTGCATGTTGCACTATGCTTTTTGGCCTAACCCAAATTAACCAGATTAATTGAATTTTGCAGGCTACAAACCCCATCTTAAATGAGTAATCATGAAATCTAAAATTTATAGTGACGATAGTTTTATGGAGAATTTAGTAAAAGGATTATGAGGCACTTACAACTGCTTCGTGAAACGATGGTGAGTACCACAGTGCTTAGACGGAGGTGGAAATTTACAGCTTGATTTTTGAAGAGACTTACGAGATTTCTCATTCTATAATCTACAGATTTTATAAATTTGCCTCATCGATCACAATTTTTGCTACGAAGTGAAATCCAAATAGATGGTTTTTTTAAACTGTAAAAGCAGAAAAACAAGGAAGTGTTAAAACTTCGAATTTATTTATAATATGGATTTGCGTGATTGAAAATGAGTGAGGAAATTGTTGCTTGAGATTCTGGGGTTTAATCCTTCCGGAAACTGTTATGGATTTTAATTACTACTGTTAAAAATTCAGGAATGGGACCGCATCTTCCGCCCGGCATTTTCCTGCCTGCACCACCGCCACCAATTGGTTTGTTACCGCCGCGATTTATGGGACCGTGTGGCCCGTTGCCAGTACCAATGGGACGAGCCCGTTCACCACCTGATAGTCCGATTGTAACTGGTCCAGAATCAATTTATGGGACACTGCCAAGGAGGCCGGCCTATGAGGAACCAATTTACATGCCAGGAAATGTGCCCTACATGCCACCACAAGCCAGCTATCAACCGGGCAGCTATCCAGCGGACCATTACGATGCCTACTACGACACCTTCAAACGACAACGATATCCACAACACAGCAAGGTCAATGATAACAAGGTCATGCACACTGTCGTTCATCACTTTTTAATTTTTTCCCAAAAAAAGGCTTTTAATAGCTTCGTGAAGCTTTTCAAATGAATGGTCGTTGCAGGGCTCAGGAGGCGCGGAGTCACAGGCAGGCTCGAGGAAAGCAGTGCCCACATCCGAGAACGATGACACATCGCAGTTCTGGGAGGCTTATGAAGCCAGTATGTACAGAAAACCCCATTTGAATGAAAAGGTAAAAATTAGCTGTGCGAAATTCTTAATGGTCAGTGACACACAGAAATAGTCCGTGGAGTAAATGCCAATAGCAACCACTCGCTGGCAAATTTGTGGACTTTCCTCTCTTCGACCAGAACCTCCGGGAGAGTTTTTTTTTACTGCCTTTTTATTCTAGTGTAATTACTAAAACTCAGCTCAGCCAGCGTCATATACGATTCGCGAAAGTTTTTCCGGCGATGATGGGTAGGGCTGCTCCACCGCCAGCGGCGAGAGATCACGTATGCCAGGCAGGGAGAAGGGACCCGGGGGAAAGGAAGGGGCGGGTACGCTGCGGGTTTCGTCTGCGGCAAGGGATGGGACTGGGATAGGTGAACTTAATGGCTATATGGCGTAGATCCCTTGTCGGTTGGCCTCACCTATGCAGCTTTACCTTATTCGCCTTCGTGAGCGCGAGCAAACTGTAACAAATAAAATGCACAAAGAGAAAAGAGATCAGACCGAAACAATACTCCCGGGAAGTCAAGAAAAGCCACTGTGCGTGAAATGTGAATAATCCAGCTGATGCTGTATCCACTCATCAGTTGCAGGCATTTCTGGTAACAGCCCGTTCGATGCCTTCTTCGACTGCCGTGGCAACGACGACGGCCCAGAATAACGTGTCTACCACCAGGAACAATGCCCGAGGTACACAGACCACGACAATATCTGCTGGAGCAGTGGATATAGCAAGGCCAGATACACCTCCGGCGGATTACGATGGTGCTGCAGTTACTGATCTACAAGTTACAGCCAACAGCAGCAGCACAGCCGGCCACAGCAAACAACAACAACATACTACAGCTGTGATCTACTGAAAACACGAGCCAAATCGCGATTTCAGAGCATTTTTTTTTCCCGTGGAACTGCTGCAATCTTGAAATAAAGCATGTTTTTTGGGGTAGATAGGAGCGATGAAGAATGGGTCAAGCGTACAAAGGCACGAGTAGTAAATGGGAAGAGTTTATTGTGTAAGAAATTTGCGGAAATATACATTGTATTAGAGAGGGGGAGTTAAACTTGAATTCCTAAGTGGCTTAAACCCTAGCGTTTGCAGTTTTGAAACAGAAAAGTGCATTAAACCGCTCGTATCTACTGGAACAAAAAAAGAAAAGAATCGAAAATTCGAAGGTTGCCCTAAAATCTTTTTTTTTTTTTTGAAAATCGAAAAGATTTTTGAGTCGACCCATCGATTTAGCTTTCAGTGAAAAGGCATCAAAAGCTGGCTTTTTAGCCCCCCCCCCCCCCCCCTTTTCCCTTGTGTTACATTATTTAGTGATTAGATTCCTGATAAAACTCTGTTTGACGTTGACAGGATGCCAAAAGAGAAGAATGAGACAGACCAATAGCCGAACACCAGGAAAAATTAAAAATGATGTTGATGATGTTATTGTTGTTTTTGTTGATGACGTTAACGATAACGATGATAATAATGGTAGTAGTAGCTGCGCATTTTCAACTTTTTAACAATTATCCAAATCAGTTCTCTTCCAGTAGTTCTGTGACGTCTAAATGAAACAACTGGATGAAGTGTTTGAACATCTCTCTCTCTCTTCCTCGTCGTGAATTTCGCTTTGGCAATTTTTGAGTTTCATGTGCTAGCTACTATGCACTCATTCCTGCATAAATAATTTATTTGCATATAACCGTTTGCCAATGAAAAACAAATATCATCATGGGGAGTCAATTACGGGAACGTGTTACTTATATGCTTACTCACGGATACAGCACGCCAGATACACTCCACGAAGTTCGCTTCTGTGAGAACCAGGCTATGATTCATGAACAGTAGTAAGAGGGAAAATTTAAAAAAAAAATTACAGGATTGAGGAAAAAGTTAAACCGACACAGAATTTTCGCTGATAATCCCCAGAAATACGGACAGATTTAGTACACTTCCACGTTCTCGGTTTACACTTCACCACTTATTTTTCATCTTTTTCTACTTCTATTTCACATACAACGTAGGGAAGAAACACGAGCAGACTATTTTAGGAATTTATTACATTGCCACGTTTCGAGTCCGCATCGTCTGTCTTTTTTTTTTTCTTTATCTACTTCTTCCTCTCTCATTCAGATGCTTGCAGCAGAAGTACAATGAGATAGTTTTTATCGGATTCTAAGGTAATCAACTCGAGTTTTATCATATCTATCCCAGAAGACAATTCAGAGAAAA